CATGCTTAATGTTGTATTTAGACTTGTTGCATAGTAAGTAACTACAAGTTAAGCTAGTTCTAGTTAGGACATCTTATATAGACCAAAGATTCTAACGAGGTTGTCACCCTGGTTGATCAGAGTTTCCTAAGCCGTCTCAGTGGGAAGATGTCGGCATCCTGGCAGGCTCAAGGCTTTTCAGATAGGGGCAGTCCAGTTTTTTATCCGATGCCTGCTCTGCAGTGTCTTGTTTGCAGGGGGCAAGTGTTTTTCCGAGCAGGCTTCAGAGCAAAGTTTGTCCCTGGTTTATTTTGTGGATCTCGCTGGATTTCCCAGTATTTTAGTGGGCTTGCCTCTCTTGGTCATCCGCAGGCTGGTGTCTGCCCTGATCGAGAGCTGGATGTGTTCTGCGGAATGCTGCCGCTTGCTGGTTCGTCCTGGTGCAGGCTGGATTGTAGGTGATTACCGGGTCGGTCTTCCAGCGGAGGTGTCTTGCTTGACGGTTTGCGAGGTCACTTCAGGTGAGTATGTTCGCTTCTTTGTGTGACGTACGCTCAGTGCAGCCGTTGTCTCCTGTGCACTTGAGTCGCGCTGGTTTTGCCGTCTCTCCATGCGGCCTGAGCAGGTAGTATAAGCCGCCTTGGTGGCTGTGAGCACGAGCTGGGCGCAGTTCTTCCCTTTGCCGTCTGCGCACATGGCGCCCGCCATTTTAGGTGCGGCGGTTGGGTTCTCCGGCCTCAAATGCAGTGTTACAGTCAGGACCACAGGGTGAGGACCCGGATCACCCCCACCGGTCCAAAGGGGGGGGGGGGAACGGGGCCGGGTCTGCGCTGGTCTGTACCTTTAGCTGGGTTCCATGGTGCAGGATAGAGGGGCAGCGGCCGTCCGCCCCACTCACCGCAGGAGAAGGCCCCATTTGAGGCAGCGTGTTTTTCTCCCCCAGGGGACTGAAGCTCGATGAGCCAGCCTCTCCCCAGGTCCTGGAGTCTCTCCACTCTGGGTATCTGCGCTGTCGGTCAATTTTGGGGTGGTAAGACATGGTTTTTAGAGAGTATGTTTCAGTTGGTTACAGGAGCTACTCAGACTTGCGACCGTCCAGCTCGGCGGTCCGGCCCCGCCCCCCAGATTTCTCACTTTTTTCTTATCACTATTTGTTTGCTTCACGTTTTTTGTGGGGTTATTCGTCTAACGCAATTTATCTAATAAAGATTTAAGTACTTGTAATTCTACCATTTATTTGGAGTTGGTAACTCTTCATGTGTTTTTGCGAGTTTATATATGAGGTGTTTATAACATTTGAGTTCTACTCTGTTTTAGTTATTCTCTTGAAATGCCTTGTTTGCCTCGTGTCCTGGGGGGGCCTAAAAGCTGGCCGGCTGGCTATCTTAGGGCCCCCCCACACCTTCCCCGTGGAGTTAAACTGCTAATAATTTTCTGGGTGGCGAGGGACCGCTGTCCTCAGCTCTTCTTGCTCCCTTGCATGCCCTTCTGTGATGCTGGGAGCAAGAATATGACATCACTCTGGCCCCAGCATCACCAGGCAAGAAGAGCTCAGTTCCCTCGCCGCCTCAATTGAGCGCCTGCACAGCCAGCCCAGCCAGTAGCCCCAGCAAAGCCAGTCCAGCCAGGAGAGCCAGCCCAGCCAGCAAGGAGCCTGTCCAGCCAGCCCGGCAGCAGTCAAGTACAGGACCCACCCCAGCTCTCCCAAAGGTGGGGAGGCTGGGTGGATTTGAATAAAATATATATATATATATATATATATATATATATTAATAATTGGTGAGTGTGAGAAAATTTGTGTGTGTGTATGTTTATGTCTGTGAGTGTGCTTGTGTCTGTCAGTGTGTGTTTGTCAGTGAGTGTGTGTGTCTGCCAGTGAATGTGTGTGTGTATGATTGTGAGTGAGTGTGTGTAGCTGTCACTGTGTGTGTAGCTCTCAGTGTGTGCATGTGAGTGAGTGAATGTGTGTGTGTGTGTGTGTGTGTGTGTGTCTGTCAGAGTGTTTCAGATCAGTGAGGAGGTGTGTGTCAGTGTGTATGTATTTGAGAGTGTGCGTCTGTCAGTTAGTTAGTGGGTGTTTCAGTGTGTGTCTGTCAGTAAAAGTGTGTGTTTGTTGAACAGTGTGTGCCAGTGACTGTATGTGTGTGCCAATTACTGTGAATCTGTCAGTGAGTGTATGTCAGTGGATGTATCTATGAGGGGGTGTGATTGTGATTGGAAAATTTAGATTGGGGGTGTGCCTGAATTTAGTTGTGCCTAGGGCAGCACAAATCCAAAATGCACCAGTGTGTCTCCACAGCTCTACAGCTGCTGCCTCCACAGATCTATCTTATACTGCCACCACAGCTATTCAGCTGCCTCAACAGTTCTATGTTCTACTGCCTCCTCTGCTCCCTTCAGAGCTCTACAGCTACTGCCACCATGGGTCATTGTCCTACTGTCTCCACCCCTACTGTCCTGATAGCTCTATCTCATACGATCACCACAACTCTACAGCTACTGCCTCCACATCTCTATGTCCTACTGCATCCATACTTTCAAAGTGTTTAATGTATAGAAACACGTGGTTAAATGGTAGACAACTCTATTCAAAATTTCTATGCAAGAGTTTGTGAGCATGAATGCTTTATGAAAAAACATCTGCGCATGTTTACTATATACTGATAGGGATCCCTGTATTGCAAAAGTCAGCCCTCAGCAGCTGCTGGGCTCTTGGGAGTTCTGATGTTATTATTTTATGTTATTTGCATCCACAGGGAATCAATTCCAGATCAAGGTGCACAGATAAGGTCAGGTGAGATAAGAATTGCAAACTCAGTCACACGGATGCAATTATTGGAAAAGTAAAAAAAAGTATTTTATGATCAATGACTCATGTTTTAAAACAAATATAAGGCTGTGTTTACACATTCAGGTCATTATATACATTTACTGCTAATGGATTCTATTATAAGACTACATGCGCAAAATCTGTCAAAATGGGTCTGATATAGCATCACGCAGGTATACGCCTTGCACCTTAGCTAGATTCCCTGTCTGTCTTATCCAAATGAAGTGCGGATACACTATCAGACAGCTTACAACTATACATCACCCAGAAACCACCCAGTAAATGCATGAGTGTAAGCACATTGCAACCACAAACGCCATTTTTGCAAACTCCATTTTGTTCACGAAAACAGTTCATGCAAAGGAGATTTAAAAAAAAAAAAAAAAACAGGTGGATATATGGACACTTGGTGTCTGTGGTGAGATTCTGCAAATATTTCAAAGCCCTCTTAACACAGTAATACTTGAAAATCTAAATATTATACCTCGTTGAAATACAAACTGCAAATAAATTGATATTCAAAATGGCTGATCTGGAGATTGTTTAATAAAATGACTGTGTCTTTGCCTTGTCAAGACTGTAAGCACAATATTCGCTTACTCAGTTATTTTTCAGTATGGGAGAGGTCAAGCCAATATTTAAATGACAAATATGGAATGGTCATAAATCTTCCTCTCCCATCATGAAATTCAAACTATTTCACAGCAACTTGTGACAAAACTTGCAAAATGGCTGCCGCAGCAAATTCACAGCTAAAAATGGCTTTGGACGTCTATATTGATTTCAGTGGCAGATTGCTGTGCCTTTTAGGAGGTCACGTGTTTACGTGTTCATTACACGAAAAATTTCAATAAAATAATGTTATAAAGCAATTTTGCTTTCCTTATGAATCCAAAGAATTCATAATTTAATCACAGAGTTTAATTGGAACTAAATTATACTTTAAAGTCTCGTAACAAACTAATCGTTGTATATCATAAAACTGATGAACTGTTTTAATAAAATGTTGGCACTGCATGTACACAACTGCGTTATGGAACTGCGCAAAATTTATAGTGACGGCTCAGAGTTAACGAAAGGTTTCGAATTGTCCCGTTCAGTAAGTTGAGATCCACATTGTATAAGGAGTGGCTTAAATATTGTATAGCGATATGGACACATTTAATAGCGGTAATAACCTACTCTAAAGTCCCAGTTGAATTCTGCGCAGAGAAATTTTTTATTAAACTGACACTCTATATAAAATAGTTCTAAATTATTTTTCTGGTGTCAGAGGTGTTGAATATTTCTTAATGTGGCAGTTATTGCTGCTGAATGGATTTTATTTTTTTTATAGAAATTTCATCGAATTTAATCGTACTTTTAGCTGCAATATTTTAATGCTCTGACGGTAAACTATTGCCTCTTGCCAAATTTAATTACAAGGCAATACTTTGCGTATGGGATTTTATATACCTCTTAACCAAAAAAATAAAACGCAATATTTAAGGCAAAGATAGCATTTTTCAATATATGCTTGTACTTGTGATAAAAATATTGCTCAAATTAATTAATTTTATTCTCACTCGGAGCTTGTCCCCCCAGCTTATTTCATACACTGAACAAGCATTAACAAGGTTATTCAATAATTACCATATTGTAGTAGATTGCATTTTTTTGTACAAAAAAAAATCAAAACCATTGTGAATTCCTGACAAATTTCACTTTAGTTAAAACCTCTAAAATAGTACCGATTTGGAAAAATTTGTGAACTCCACTATATTCATATATTGATCATTTTAGATTAAATATCACAATTCGGATTTTAAATTACGTACAAGTCACTGTTGAGAGAATAAATCACATATTGATGCTAAGGATAATGCAGGTGATTTCAATAACTTTGGAATATTCACAAATATAAATTTCTACAGATATGTTCCCTATTTCACAGCAACTAATGAACCCCCCTCCAGCATAACATTGTAAGCAATACGCTCATACAGGATACATCAGAAATAACGCAATCCGCTGATGGTAAAGGCAGATGTGAGAAGGCGATAGGAGAGAGACAGACACAGAGGCAGCACGCAGATTGAGAGAGTTATTCACTAAATAGTGAATTCTAATTAAATTCAAAATTCATTGAAAATTCTCTAGAAAATCTAATCTCTGGAAAATATCGCTATGTCTGCTGTAGTCCCAGTTTGGCTATTTTAAACCTAAAATGTTCAACCTAGTTTTCAATTAATCACAATTTAGTGAATAAGACTCAAGTTGTTCACTAAGTCGTGGTGTGTTGTGAATTCCTCATGGAATTGCAGGTTTAGGACAAAATAGCCGAATTCTATGTGAGAGACCCACACAGACAGAGACATTAACGAAGATAAGACAAACATACCTAAACATACAAACAGAGACAGACAGACAAAGGGAAATAGACAGATAAACACATCTTAAATAATACAAATCATTCAATACAAAACTGGTTTTGTTGTATTTTGCCATAAACATAAAACACTGAAATTTGACATTACAAACCTGCATTTACTGTCTGTAGAAACTGGAGACTGCAGCCAGGGGATATCAGCAGATGGGGTATTGGTTCCTCAAGGTCACTGGTTGGTTCCTGAAAGTGACAGTGTAATAAACAGAGGCTTACTTTTAATTTAGCTTTCCCCAAATTATAATTAGACACTACACTTGGATCCAAGACCATATGGAGTCTCAGATTTACGGTTCATGTGGTTTAAAGGGAGTAAAAACCAGAAGATTTTAGAGGAAGAAAAGTTTTATTCCAAATAAACCATTTATTCGAGCAATCAATCACAGTGAACTGGTTTCTCTACACGCGTCTGTTTGTAATTATCCATAAATGGGAATAAAATTGAGCACTTTC